AAGGTCCTTTCATTCGTGATCCTGATGCGAACTTGTGAGCATGCACCAATCCGAGGTTGCTATTGATCCAGGCCTTGCGAGCCAAGCCCGGTGCCACCTATCACTTCGGACTCTGTTGTTCATCATGGGTTTCGATATGCAAGGCAAGTTCGCTACGGTCGTTCCTCAACCCCCACGGTGACTGCACACGGGAGTTTGTTGATAACGGCAATACAATGGTGTCAAGGCTCGTGTATCCACTTACTTCAGCATGTGCTAATCCTACCTGGTATCCTACACATGCGGTCTTGTGCATCCCTGCAGATTCTGCCTACTGGCCTGGCTGCTCATGTCGAGGGGGGCTCACTGGTGCCTCGAACAACCGGTGACTTCACTTATGTACCGCCACAAGCGGTTCCAGGAGCTTTGTCGTGCAGTGGTTGTGCCCTGGCCTTATGGGACAGTTCGCTAGGGTTTCAGGTCTTTGGGTACGTGTGTGTGTGTGTGTGTGGGGTGTGTGTGTGTGTGTGTGTGTGTGTCTGTTCGTAGTACTTGCATTCATACCTGTACACACAGACACACATGTATAAATAGGTATGCATACCAATAATAGATATATTGTATATATATATATATATGTATATTGTATACACATGCATGCATACATATACACACATACACATGCATATACATACATACACACACATATATACATATATATATATATATATATATATATAGAGAGAGTCACATAACATATATGTGTGCACATATACTTCTACATATATACATTCATGTACAGTACAAACATGCATGTTACAACACTCCGTCTCTCCTGAACATAATCTTCGTTGGGATAGCAGTGGGCAGCTTTCGACCCAACCCCAAGCTCCGATCGCAGCCAGCTGAGAAAGCTATATAGGATCCCTGACCCTCGTTTGAACCCAATCCCATGTTGCAGCCCAGCCCCGACCCAAGCATCTCCAGGTGTACCGGCAAGCCTTTTGGCTTGGCAAACTTGGCGCCAAGACCCCGAAGAGGTCCAGATTGTGGTCCAGCTCAAAAGCCATCTTGGATTTTCGCAGGTTTGCTAAACTCTCCAAAAAAGAGCGAGAAGCATGTCGGGGAAACTTGGTAAACCGAAAAAAGGATGCCAAGGGAACGTCTCGGTATACGGGGAACAAGAACCTCAAAAAATCTCAGAGTCTTGCCTGTATTAAGACATTATGTTATAACATCTACTAATCCACAAGGCCCCACTCACCTATATAGTTTAAGGCCTGCTAGCTAAGGAGGTACCCGTTCGCCTTCGCTATGCGCTTTGCAAAGCTTTGGCCATGCTTCCAAGCATCGGAGATCCAATGGAGGAACAAGCTCAAGGAGGCAGATGATCGGCATGGGCTGTTCGATTCCTTAGTTTGTACGACACCCAATTAACTAATATATGGCATTCGATCCGAGGTCCATGGCTTTCAATGTTCGGATGCCAAGCAGGTGATCTATTCAGAGGTTCCCAAGGATTTGTGGAAAGATGCCAAGCTCGACGGTGTGCTAGAGTACATGTATGCCAATAAGAGGCTCCGTCTTTCGACGGACCAGAAAGAGATGTTGCGAAGGCTCGCAGCAGATTTCGCCGGCTAGGTCGCAGCTCCTGAGCTCGTTTCAAACAGAATGCTGTCGAGCCCCGCCAGGGTTTGTAAAAGGGTTCTTCGCGGGGGGCGGGGTTGTCTCTATATATGTATACAATTATACATCGGATATGTGTCTGTCTGTAACATACAATGTATGCATATATATATATGATAGATGTACATATATATATATATATATACACGTATATGAATGCCTCTCCATCTATATAAATAAATATATACATATATATATATAAGTATATATGTATTGCAGATAGGGAATCGTATGTATATATATATATATACATACGATTCCCTATCTGCAATACATATATATATATATATATATACATATATTTATATAGATGGAGAGGCATTCATATACGTTGTATACATACATATATATATATATATATATATATATATACATACCTATCCATATATATATGCATATATATATATATATATATATGCTGTATATATAGAGGCTTTAATACATATACATACATACAACATATATATATATATATATATATATGTATTTCGCAATATATTAGGGCTCAGTGCTGCATTTTCTTGGGGGAAGGGCTTCGGTGATGCTTTTTCAGACTGCGGTGCCGGCTTTAGTGGGGTCTGCGCTGTTTGCTTTCACCAATGTAGGGCTTTGTGCTCTTTTGCAAAAGATTGTGGGGGTTTGTTGGCTTATGTACAAGGTTGCAGGGTTTCACCTGCTTTCAATCCACTTTAAGCTACTCTAAACACATTTAGGTGCATTCTGCACGGTTTTGAACACAAAACGCAGTGCCGTAAAAAAGCGTAGAGTGCCATAAAAACCTGTGCTAGTGCCATAAAAAAGCGTAATCCCCGCAACGCCCCGCAACACTGGTTCACAGATGTGCATTTTGCATCCCTAGGGGGTTAGATCACGATGGTGAAGGGCAAGCCTTTGCGGCTTGAATCCAAAAGCCACAGCTGTGCCACCCTCTATGCGGGACAATCCTTCGTCGAAGCTCCGTTTGTGAAGCAAGAACCTGAGAACATTGATGCTGATCTACGAGTATCTTAGCAGCAATCGAAAACCTCACCGATCATATCTGATCCCGACAAACCCATAAACCATGCATCCCAGGCAGCGTCGAAGCGTCTCGAGGACCTGAAGCAGAAGGCCCGCAAGATCGAAACGATGACGGGCACCGAGGATCCGAGCGAGCTTCGCAACTTTGGTCTTGCAAGCCCTGTGGTGAATGCTGTACATGACCCTCCTAGCCGACCTGCCCGACCTGTAGCTACTCCTGTCCGTGCACCCGAACGAGCAGTCTCGACAGATGCGCAACCTCGCTCACAGCAACTCTGGGAAGCAGCTTTCCCGGGGCCTGTGATTGATGAAGGTGCAAAGGAACCTGCCGCTGTGGAAGCGGATCTTGCTGCAGGTGGGCCAGCTCCGGGGCAGGTTGGGGAACCTACGGCTACAGCTGACCCGACACCAACCCAGCCCGAAGACTCCGACGATGAGTTGATTATGGATGTGGACTGCGTAGCTAGCCAGCACGTAGCAGTTTTCGATACATGTACTCGTATACACACCCACGACTCCTATGCATGGCCTATACAATGAATGAAATCTACAAATATAAATGAAAATCTATTAGGATATGTATATTACCCCTGGCTGACTATGTCCAAAGACACGCAGAGGTATGTATGTATATATGTATAGCATATATATCTATATATATATATATGTGTATTTATAGTATGCATGTATGTGTGTATCATGTATATGTATGTGTTGTGTATATATATATATATATGTATGTATGTATGTATGTATGTATGTATGTATGTATGTATGTATGTATGTATGTATGTATTATACGTATATCTGTATATACACATGTACGAAAGTACATGAAGGATTTATAAGTGCAACTGAGGTGCTTAATTGCATGTATTTATTCCTTATACACAAATATATCATGTATAGCTCATATATATATATATATATATATAATTCGTGTACGCACACAATATACCTAAGCCAAATCAGAAGCCCTTCCAGACCAAACGTTCTAAAAGCAGTGTCTTTGCATCCGAACAACCGAGGATTATGAGGAGCTTGGAGAGCTCTTGCGAGCCAGCATCCCAGCGAAGCTGGAGAAGTCGCCAGTGCCACCAACACCCACGGCAGCTTACCTTAATGATAAAGCTTGTTCGGCTTATGAAAGTTCTGCTTCGGGTACTGGCAGGTGGCTGATGCAGAGATGGATGGTCTCGCTGATGTGTACTGGCCGGAAATTGACGGGCCGCAAGAGTCTGTGCAAACAACTCAAGTAGCCAGCCCAGCCCGAAGCCCTGTCCGAAAGTTGTTCCACACTCCCGAAGCAAAGCCCGCAGCAGCAACTCCGAAGAAGGCTACCACAGCTGCTTTGACCCCCACGGACTCCCCCAGGAAGAGGAAGCCCCCGCGAGGGCGCAGCAGATCCCCCAACAAGTCTTCAGAGCGAAAGCCTCGTCGCCGAAGCAGATCCCCACACAAGTCTTCCGGGAGAAAGCCAGAGCGGAGCGAGAACAGATCCCCGCACAAGTCTTCCCAGAGAAAGCGAGATCGGAGCGACGACAGATCCCCACACAAGTCTTCCCAGCGAAAGCGAGATCGGAGCAACGGCAGATCCCCACACAAGTCTTCCCAGAGAAAGCAAGATCGGAGCAACGGCAGATCCCCACACAAGTCTTCCCGGCACAAGCGTCGCAGTGCTAGTCGCAGCCCCGGAGATACCCACGAGCGAAGGGCGAGCAGTGCCACTCCGGCCAAATCAAAGACCCGAAGTCCAATGGATGCGTCGGCCGAGCCTCGTCACTCCAAATCCCCGGGATCAGCAACTTCGTCACCCGCGACAGCTACAAAGAAGAAGGCACCCTTATAACCCTAAGCCCTGTAAACCTTAAACCCTAAAACTGAAATCTGATTTCTTTGAAACCCCTTGTGTTCCATATCCCTGCAGGACATGCGAAGGGGAACGATCCGTATCACTGCCAGGGAGTACCGCAACTACGAAGCCACGTTGCGCCGGATGTGCACCAAAAGTGCAAAGCGTGGAACCTTGCAGGTGAGCGATGATGTTGCCGAGAAGTGGAAGTGTACCAGGTCGCGCAAGCAACTTATCGTGGCTTTGATAAATTGCAAAGGCGACAAAGCCTCTCTTCAGCACTACAACATGTGTCAGCCGATGCGTGTATGTGTGTGTGCGTGTGTTTGCATCGATCTGTTCCATGTGGTCAATGCATGCCGAAACATCTCAGGAGAGCTTCAACCAGCGCATGGAGATAGTGATTCGCAACATCAAGGAAGGACGTGTGACAATCGACAGCGGCTTCTATAGTGAGCAGGCTATGCGAACCGAGCTCAAGTTTGATCGGCAGCTAGGCATGCACAACTTTAGATGCAACTTATATGTGCACAACCAACTGATCCTGCTCCAGCCCAGGGACCGAATCAAAGCCATCGTCGCATATTGCACTGCCAATAGAAGTCGCCGCCGATCACTCACGAGGCCTGCCCGATGCATTGTATTTGCTGTGTTGTGTTGCCTAACTGATTAAGTTTCCATTGTTTTGTTGTTGGCAGGAAGGATAAGTATCAACGCCACATCGTGGAGTATTGGGTCGACGTGAAAACCAGCGGAAGCCTATCCAAGACGAGCCGTGAAGAGTTCAACCAAACTGTGGAAATCGTGGACGACAACCTCCAGCTGCCTCCGCCTCAGTTGGGAAACGAGGCCCTTCCCTGCTACGACGAAGAGGACGACGAGGACGATGATGATGATGATGAGGAGGAGGATGGTACCGAGCCACGGGACAAGACTTCGAGCGTGACACCCAAGCTGAAACGAAAGCGTCGAGGAAAGACCCCCAGTCCCAAATCCAAGCTCGCTGCGAAGAAGAAGCGAGAGAAAGCGGAAGAAGTGGAGAGTGCTCTGGAGGCTTGCTACAGTCTGTTACTGATTCCATTTACAACACCCCAAACAAGCCCTGAACCTTAAGTCCATAAGCCCAAAACCTGTCAGGACATCGACAAGATACCGGATGTATTGAAAGAGATCTTGAAGCTGCGGATCAAGATTGACAACACCCTCGACCAGCTGCACAAGAAAAATCATGGCAAGGATAGTGGCACCACGAAGTTTCCTAGCTGCTTTAAATGTGCATCTATCTAGACCCCTATATATCTTCGGCCATGTACATCATATACACCTAAACAGCATCATATTGCACCGTTGATCTGAGGTCGAAACTCCATGAGCAGGCTGAAGCTTTGATGACACTCCACGATGAACTCGCTGAAATCAAAGCCGATAACTGTAGTGGGACTCCCAGTGAGAAGCCCCTTATCTGCAAATATATGTGCACATGGCACAATGTACACCAATGTTGACTGCTCTAAACTGAGGACGATTGGGAAGCTGAAAGAACACCTCGCTCAGGTCGAGAAGCTGTGGCCTGGTTTGAAACCCATGCAAGCCTCCATTGCATAAGAGAACCAGGAAATCGCCAAGCCCATGCTGCACACCTTGTTTGTCCCAGGACAAGCCGCATCACTATGGAAGAGAAGAAGCTCAAGAGGACTTCAGTGCATGCTATATCTTATTCTCGACAGATCGATAACCTAGGCTTGGTTTGGGGGGCCCTATAAGTTAACAATTGCATGGCAGGACAGTTCTCCGATCCAAGCCGGCTGTGAAAAGCAAGGCTAAGGGTAAGCGCAAGGCCACAAAGGCCGGTGGCGATTCTGCTGAGGGAAGCGATGAGGATGAGGATGAGGATGATGAGCAGCCAAAGCCGAAGCCTAAGAGGAAAGCTAAGGCCAAAGCTGCCCCGAAAGGTGGAGCCAAGAGCAAGAAGTAGGGTGCTAGCCCTGCTGTGCACAACAAGGTCTAGCGACGATCGATGTTCTTATAGCTTATGGCTTGCAAGTATACGGGGTTCCCTTAATGGGGAGTGGGTTGGAACACCATGCACAGCTGGGCAAAGCTTTTCTTGTCACACGCACGGAAAAGTCGTGGTGTGGTTGCATAGCTTGCAAAGCATGTGTATGCAGTTCGTTAGCTCGAGACTCGAGATGAACGGTACTCTGATGGGGCATGACTATATGCAAAAAGACGCCCACTGATCTATAGATCTCGATCTGAATTCCACCACAATGTAATCGATAATTGATGCTGCGCAGGTGCTCGGGGTGCACCGGATGCTGCGGAGCCCAGTCAGCCTGGATCAGCCTCGGCTGCATTGGCGAGAGCGCGTGGATCGGGGGCGTGGTTTTCGAAATTTCGGATCTGGTTTGGACCTATATATCGCCAAAAGCTTAAATAAAGAACCCGACGCCTTTCGCGATATATCTTCTATAGACCTCCCAACCCGAATCCCAAATCCCTGATACTTCAAATCTCGTCCTATCCGAAAATATATAATGGAATTCTTATACACCACCTGAACTAATGGAACTGTAAACTCAATCATCTTTGACAGCCCAACAGCCCAAACCTAATTTTACAAAAGCACCCCTGAAGGTTTCCGATCGGCTGCTATGTGATTTAGCTGCTGGGTTTTTGGATGAGGTCAATGAAGCCGACCCTGATCTGGCAGAGAACCTTCGAAGCTCAGAGTTTTTGCGTGACTTGCACAGGAAATCCGCAACGAAGCATGAAAATGCTAGTGGGAGAGCTTTCGTGAAGGAAGGCTTATCTTGTCCGGTTCCTACCACTACTGTGGATGTTGGTTCGGGCTTTGAGCACCCTGTCCTAAAGGTCAAGGACATGCTTAAGGCTTTGGATTCTGCTGGAAAGATACCTATATTGTGGGGTTCCGAAAGTGCAACCTCCCATACTGATGTGCTGCCAAAGTTCTGGCGGCGATGGAGAGCTCACGACCCCGGCCATGAGGTTTTCAAGGAACATCGCCAACATCTAGATATGGTAATACCCGTACAAGTTCATTCGGACGAGGGTCAAACCCTCAAAAAGAGCGGGGTCAATATCCTGAACTGGCAATCACCAATTGGATTTGGTGTTTCTACGCAAGAGGATGTCCCTGCTGCTATGTCGCTAAACTACATGGGCAATTCCTACTCAACACGATTTCTATTCTCTATATGTACCAAGCGACTCTACGCCAAAAAGAAACGGGGCTTTATCTTGGATGGGATCTTCGAACACCTTGCGGAGGAACTTAGAGATTTATTCTACAATGGCGTGACGCTGAAGCTGAACGGCGGAGAAGACAAGACGTTCTTTTTGGCCCTTATTGGAATTAAGGGTGATTGGCCCATACAGGCTCGTATGGGGAATCTTCAGCGGCACTTTTGTCGCAAAGGTGTTTACAAAGTCAGTGAAAAGAGTGGTTTCTGCCACTTGTGTCGTGCTGGGGAAGAAGGCTACAATCCGAACGATTACAGTGAACGTGCTGCTTGGAGGTCTACCTTTCTAAAGTTTCCTCCATGGTCTTCGGAGGGTCCTTTCTGCAGGGTGCCGCAGTCGTCTGCGAAAGAGTTCATGCACAAGTTTGACCTCTTCCACACGTTGCATAAAGGATGCTTCGCTGAGTTAGCTGGAAGTGGCCTTGCCACACGTCTCGATTTATGTTTGTGTTTTTTTAATTTTCGTGAACTTTATATAGGAACCAAACATAACCTACTTAAAACTCAGGTTCTCATCACGGACTATAAGTTGGCAGGCCCTGGGGACATTCCAGTGCAGCTGACTGCGATCTATGAGATGGCTTCGGAGTACTGCAAATCGCAAAATATACCGTTGCACATGGATGCCTTGACACGGCATCTGCTCAAGTTTTCAGGAGACGCTGAGTATCCAACAGGGCACCCTGATTGAAATGATGCATATTGATTTAAAGATTTTGTTGTTCGTGGGGTGTATATTTGGTTCGTTGTGAGTGTAATCGACTTGTGAGGAATTGGTTTAAAGGGGCGGACACGACGGCGATGTGTTGCTTCCTGGAAAACTTTTGGTCGAATCATATCTCGAGTCTTGATGCACCGGACGCCTACTTGAGCAGCATGCTTGATGCTCTGCGCTCCGCGAATGCCTTCATGCGCCTACTTTTCCGTTCTGGCCTCTGGCTTTCTTTGGACCGTTGCCGTGCAGTTGCTAAAGCCGGCCTGGGCTTTTTGAAAGCATACCTTGAAGCGTCACACGCTGCATACACCATGCGGCGAACACGTTTTAAGGTAACCCCAAAATTTCACGCGATGATCCATATAGTCGACACACTCGTTTGCGCGAGCAATGCCAAGAGACAATGGACGCTGTCGCCGCTTTCCGAGAGCACCCAAATTGATGAAGACTTCGTGGGGAGAATCGCGTCGATCACTACATCCGTGGATTCTCGTGTTGTCCATAAGCAGACGCTGGATCGCTACAAGACAAATGTCTGGAAGCATCTGACAGGAAGAAGTGAAAAAGAGTGATCTTGATCGAGATTCTTAAGAGATTCTATCATTGTAAGGCACTTATATCTCGAAATCCCCCAAAAAAATCGTCACTGGGTATGGGCTCATATGGTTCACAAGCGCCTTTCGTCGGTTGCCTATTATTTTGAGGGCCCAGGTTTCCAAGGTACTTAAAACCTATTGAAACAGCTACAAAAACCATTCAAAACTTTTAAAAACCATTCTGAGCTATTAAGAACCTCGCAAAACCTGCAAAAACTTCAAACAGACCAGGCCAACTTTTCCACAACACCAAAGTGAAAAACTCCAGGCGCAAAGTGACAATCTCCAGGCCCCCAAGTGACAATCTCCAGGCCCCAGAGTGACAATCTCCAGGCCCCAAAGTGACCCAGGGCCTTCTGGGTGGCTTCGGTGGGCTTGTGGCCTCTGGGGCCTCTGCAGGGTTCACGGGGGAGGACCTTCTGCAAGCTTTGTGGGGGCCTGCGCTAGGCGCTGGGTCTTTAATTTTAATTAGGTCCGGTTAATTTTAAGCTCCGGGCCTTTAAGTTTAGGCTCCGGGTCCTTAATTTTAGATCCGGTGCTTATTTTAAGCTCCGGTGCCTTAATTTTAGCCTGGCCCTTAATTTCTGGCCCTTAATTTTAAGCTCCGGGTCCTTGATTTTAGGTCTGGCCTTAATTTTAAGCTCCGGGTTCTTAATTTTCGGCTCCGGGTCCTTAATTTGAGGTCCTGGCCTTTAATTTTAAGCTCCGGGCCCTTAATTTTCGGCTCCGAGTCCTTAATTTTAGGTCCGGTCCTTAATTTTAGGCTCCGGGTCCTTAATTTTAGGTCCGGTCCTTAATTTTAAGCTCCGGGTCCCTAATTTTCGGTTCCGGGTCCTTAATTTTAGGTCCGGTCCTTAATTTTAAGCTCCGAGTCCTTAATTTTCGACACCGGGTCCTTAATTTTAGGTCATTTTAGGATCCGGGGTCCTTAATTTTAGGCGGTCCTTAATTTTAAGCTCCGGGTCCTTAATTTTCGGCTCCGGGTCCTTAATTTTAGGTCCGGTCCTTAATTTTAAGCTCCGTGTCCTTAAGTTTCGGCTCCGGGTCCTCAATTTTAGGTTTTGGTTCTTATTTTAAGCTCCGGGCCTTTAATTTTAGGCTCCGGGTCCTTAATTTTAGGTCCGGTCCTTAATGGTCCTTAATTTTAAGCTCCGGGTCCTTAATTTTCGGTTTCATTTAAGGCTCTTTAAAGGCAGCAAGGAGGAATCCAGGCCTGCCCGGCCATTTGCACGAAGGTTTACCGGGGCCCCACAAAGGAGGAATCCAGGCCTGCCCGGCCGTTTGCACTGAGGTTTAGGGCTATTACTTTATAGGCTGACAGTAGCGGCCTATTCACTGCAGCCGCGTGGACCGGAGGTCCAGGACCTACGGCTTGCCTTTCGGCCGTCGCCTACGGTCCGGCAGGCGCCTTCCGGTCCGCCTGCTGCGGCCGACCCCATTCGCTGCGGTGAGGGGTCGGCCTTCAGTTTTAGGGTTTGGGGTTTCGGGTTTAGGGTTTTAGGGTTTAGGGGTATCAAAGCTGCAGATGTTGGCCTGGAGGCACTTGTCACTCTTAGCGGCCGAAAACCAAACCTTTCAACTTTTAGGGCTTCTATAAGATAGTCTTCCTGGAGAGTGTGGGCTTTTCCCCATAGGTGCTTGGGAAGTAAGAAAGGCCATGTGTCGAAACTTACGCCGAAAGCCAGGGAAAGCCTGTATCCAAAGCATCTGCTTAATGTAAGAACCCTCAACCCTAAACAACCCTAAACCCCTAAACCCAAAGCCCCTCTCAATCCTCATGCCTCACATTCGAATCCCGATCCCCAATCCTAATCTCAAGGCCATAACACACTAAACCCGTCAATCCCAAGGGGGAGGACATGATTTGTATCTTCTCGGATACAACACACACATATGTATATATATATATATATATATGTGTATAATACATATGTTTATTCCTTTATTTGTTTCTGTATTTAGGTACTTATACAAAGTCCTACACCTGCACCAACCCTCTTCGGCTGGATCGGGTTGAAAGCTTTGGTAGTTGGATTCGGAGATGAATTCAGCAGCTCGGGTTCCCGGAAAGCCCAGTCCCTTAGCGTAGATCCCCAATATTTAACCTTAAACTTTTTGGGTTCTTATAGCTCGGTAGATTTCTGTGGCTTATTGGGGTAGTAAGTAAACCCAACACCACTGTCTGGGTTCGGGGTTCAAGGCGCTCACACTCTCCAGTTTGGGGTCATTAGGGTGTAGGCCTCCCCTAAATCCTCAGGCTTGCGGTACATGTGATTGGGTGACTGAGAGTCAGGGACGAGGCCTCATAAAATTGGGAGACCCGACAAAAAGAACGAAATCACCTGCGTTTAGGGCCTGGGGTTGCATTGAGGCACTTGAAGTGTTCAGTGTAATAACCTGTAAATCGCGTTCGTGCGCCGGCCTAGTTTCAGTCTTGTCGGGCCCTGCGTACCCGTGCAGCATGAAATCATGATTGGACAGGCATACTTGTCTTCGGCCCGGTATTGCTCCTGATGGAGACCCGAAACCCTAAACCCGAATGGGACAACGAGCAGATGAAGCAGATCAATGAAGATCTTTGGTCTTGAATGGCCCAAAGACGAGTGGTAATCTCCTTTTTCTGCAGTACTTGTTCACGAATCCTGTCCCCAAATTAGCCAGAATGTAAGTTAAGTTCCTGTTTTGGTTTGGGATTTTCTCCCTTCAGCCTCTCTCCAAGAATGTTGCCAGGCTTGGTTCGGTATGGCATCATGTGCAAAGACATGTGGACCGCCGCGCACCTTTGCCAGGAATGTTTAAACTGATTTAAAACAGTATGATCGGGTGCCACGAATATCTGCAACTCTAGATAAAGGACACAGGTCGAA